AAATAATATAAAATTCTCAAAAAACAATAAAATATATTTTCCTTTTCTGTACTTGTTGTTACATATTCAAGATCTATTTCACTGGTCCGTGTTGTCTCTATCTGTCTCTCACAAAACAAAACACTCTCACACACACATACACACACATCATCCCATCTATTTCTCTCTCTTCTCTCTTCCTCTCTCTCTCTCTCTCTTCTCTCTCTCCTCTCTCTTCTCTCTCTCTCTCTCTCTCTCATCTCTTCTCTCTCTCTCTCAGCATTTTTCCCACTTATCTTTATACGTTTTCTTATGACGTCACTTACCATCTTATCTCTCCCTTTTTACCCTACGCAATTTGCAATTACACGGTTCTCGACAAGAAATTTTGCATAAGCTCCTCCTTTTTTCCTTGTTGCAGTGACTAATGCACACCTTTACTTTTCTCTCTCTGAATCTCTACTCTTTTCTCAGGCGGATCTACAAATACCATTTCTCGGAGCAAACTGGCTCCTATCGCGTCAATTCAGCCAATTATGTTTTTAATCTGCGCCTCCTAACTCCTTTTGATATTTTTCTGTTTGGATATTTTTGTTTCTTTCCTTTATTATGATTCTATTTGCACTACTGTTCTTTCTTTTCCTTCTGCTACTACACTTCTATTCTTTAACCAGCCGAACTTAATTCTTGCAAATAGTGAAAATGAACCTAAAGAAGAAAAAAAGCTAGAGAAAGATAGCGTATAGTAGATAGATCTTCTTGTTATATATATATATGAAAAAAAATATATAATATATATGTATCGTATATATATATAATATATATAATATATATATTATATATATATTATATTATATAATATATTCTATATATAATTAAAAATATACATATATCTATCTATCTATCTATCTATCTATATATATATATATACTATATATATAGAGAGAGAGAGAGAGAGAGATAGATAGTAGATAGATAGAGTAGATAGATGTAGATAGATAGATAGATAGATAGATAGATAGAGAGATAGATAGAGGATAGAGATAGATAGAGAGAGATAGAGAGATAGAGAGAGATAGAGATAGATAGAAGAGTAGATAATAGGTAGATAGATTGATGTATCTGTGTATATACAATATGAAAAAAATATATATATATATATATATATATATATATATATATATATTATAATATATATATATATATATATATATATTAATAAATACGAATATGCAAATAATATATATGTATATATGTATAATACTATATAATATATATATATATATATTATATATTTAATATATATTACATAATATTATATATATATATATAATATATTATATATATGCATATATGTTTATATATACATATATAGATAGATAATAGATAAATAGATATACATAAACTCCCTCTACCTTTCTCTCACTCACATTTCTCTCTCTCTCTCTCTCTCTCTCTCTCTCTCTCTCTCTCTCTCTCTCTCTCTCTCTCTCTTCTCTCTCTCTCTCTCCTCTCTCTCTCTCTCTCTCTCTCTCTTCTCTCCTCTCTCCCTCCTCCTCTCTCTCTCTCTCTCTCTCTCTCTTTCCCTTTCCCCTCGCCCGCCGTGTTCTCCGCCGATGAAAGGGGAAAAAGCGTTTCGCTGTGGGAATCTGTGGTTATAAATAAATGTATCCACATTATCCTTGAACTCGCCGGCTAATGGCAGCCAGACCTACCCTCTGGGTCGGGGCAGCGAGGGGTCAGTAAGCCTTAACCTTCTATAAGGTCATTATCATTATATCATTAACTTCAGTTTATTGATTTATCTATTACTGGCATGAAATTTTGGGTAGAATATTTTTTCTTCTTCTTTTTATTTTTCCTATTTTCGGTCTACTCTTCGTTTCTTTTATATATCACGTGTTTCTTTTATATATCACGTGTTTCTTTTATATATCACGTGTTTCTTTTATATATCACGTGTTTCTTTTATATATCACGTCAGATGCATAATTCTTTGGGTGTTTTTAGCCTCATAAAAATCATTAGAATTGAGTTACCTGTCACTCTTAGTGAGAGATAAAACATGCATGATTCGTGATTGACAAATCTTGTCTGTCTCTTGCTGCCTTGACCTTTTCTTTCGTCCTATAAGTAAATTGTTATACTTTTATTCGGTTTTTCAATTTATTCTTTTACACTTAATTATATATTTTTGTATTATAACACTTTATCTTTGATCCATCCTGCAGTATATTGATATACTTTTTATATATACCATTATGGTTTTACCTTTTGTCTTACATAAATATAATATCATACTTTTAATCAAATCTTCTATTCATCTTTCTACTTTATTTCGCTCTACCCATTTATCGTCTTCTTTCCTCGCGGTTAGTCCTCCCCGACTCGTAATGAATATTTCTCCGCGTCCCTACCACTTTCCTCCTCTTTGCCTCCCTTGCTCCCGCCCCCTCCTCCCCTATGCCTCCCCCGCCTTCCCCCGCCCCGCTTGCCGCCCCTCCCGATGCCTTCCTTGCCT